CAGTCTATGGCTTGGGGGTAGAAGCTGTCGGACAGGCTCATAGAGCCGATGCTCCGCTACAGTTTGCCGGACGGCAGCAGAGTGAACAGTCTATGGCTTGGGGGTAGAAGCTGTCGGACAGGCTCATAGAGCCGATGCTCCGCTACAGTTTGCCGGACGGTAGCAGAGTGAACAGTCTATGGCTTGGGGGTAGAAGCTGTCGGACAGGCTCATAGAGCCGATGCTCCGCTACAGTTTGCCGGACGGTAGCAGAGTGAACAGTCTATGGCTTGGGGGTAGAAGCTGTCGGACAGGCTCATAGAGTCGATGCTCCGCTACAGTTTGCCGGACGGTAGCAGAGTGAACAGTCTATGGCTTGGGGGTAGAAGCTCTCGGACAGGCTCATAGAGCCGATGCTCCGCTACAGTTTGCCGGACGGCAGCAGAGTGAACAGTCTATGGCTTGTATATTGACTGGTGTTGCTAAGCCTTCAGTAACTCCACATTAATGATTAACCTTAAAAAGGGGGTGCCAAGGCTATATTATCCCATTTGACCTTTGATATTGCGACACTACAATTTATGAATTGGCATTGGCAGGTGTTGCAAGAAAGCATAGACATTAAAACCTGCCTACAAATGAGGTCATGAGGGAAGTGAACATTTAATCAGAGACAAAGAACACTTTCATCAGACAACGAAAACTTTCAATTATTTGAGACTCCGTTAATGTTGTCAACCCAACTCTTCATGTTCTAATGTCGCTGCACCCCAGCTTGTTGGCTGCAATGGTGAGGGATCCAGTTAACATTAATATCACTATGAGTTCACATGATGCTGGTGAGAAACTTTATTTCTCAGTTTATTATTTTACGACCGAAGATCATAAAGATATTTACGAAGATAATAGAGGGTATTTCTTTTTTTTTTATTAAGAGCTTGACTGTTTCCTGTCTCTCTCCAGAGACAAGTCATCCAGCTACTGGTGAGTCACACAGAAATGTGCACATTCTCAAAAATGATTTTCAGTGAACCAAACCTCTGTACTTATTTGAGATGAACAGATACAGCTCTACTAAAATAAGACAGAATGTGAATCCCCATTATAGTTGAATTTTCGTCTGCGTTTTGCAGCATTTAAAACACAGCAGTGACGTAAACTTTATCCTATTTAAAGTGAATATGCAAACATCATGAATTGACCTTGCAAATCTTCTCATTATTAGGCTATTTAGCACCGTCTACATTGGGTGTACTAGGTTAAGTACTGTACATGGGCGGTGTGTTCAATAGGGCGATATGGGCGACGCACTGCCAAACGGGAAAAGGAAGGGATTTTTTTTCTAATCAATTATATCATGGCAACAGTAGTTCAGTGTTCACGTCTGATCTGCCAGCCACTAAATGTCCAATCAGGCTAAAGTCGTGCTTCAAATGTCCCCGCCCGTTTTGGGGCGATTTCAGTCAGGTTGAAAATCGCCCAGAAGTCTCTCATAGCCTCTAATGTAAAATAATTTTTTTTCAAATTTCTGAGCTTTCAATACATTCTCTATGGGTGTCTGAGGGCTTGCACTTACGCGCTTTCGTCATACGTAACGTAACGTAACCATGAACGGCAGACAGCAACGCTTGGACAGCGACTGGTGTAACCGACATGTACCATCTTTCAGAAAAGATTAAGAAAAATGAGCTGTCAAAGACCCACATTGATAGCTGTTTGAGATTGTCTGCTTTGGTGAGAGTGAATATTGCCACTCAACTGGATGAGGGATACAGGCTAGCTGTCCGCCGCCACAACGATGAGGTTAGCAACAGCAGAGTCGTGAACACTGTCTACGAGAATCGAGACGACCTCATAGAATGTTTTGAAGCCATCCGGACGGGTTCATTGGGTTCATTTGACCAGCCCACCGTACCAGAAGCTACAGAATAAGGACATCGATGCTGTCTTTATCAAACGTGCCCTCGACAGCTTCGCAAGCAGTGTGCAGGCCATAAGGTAAGATAAAGATTAAACAATATCATTCGATCTTTCTCAAAGCAGAGCTTTATTTGAAAATGTATGCATGAAAGGAGACTGCATTTGTGTTTGAAATTACATTATTGTCATTATATATGGCCAGTGGTGTAATCTATCTTATTTTATATACTATGTGTACTGTACAGTGGTGCTCATAAGTGTATGAACACATTCTAAAGCTGACTAAAAAGAGGAATAAAAAAATAAAAAAATCATCTTTTGGAAATTGATCTTAATGACTTAATTAAAAAAGTTGGAAAATCCAACCTTTAAGGACACCAATTTTCTTTTCTTTTTTATTCCTCTTTTTAGTCAACTTTAGCATGGGATCATAAGCTTATGAGCACCACTGTATACTGTGCTGAACATCCAGGCTATGTGAGACACAAAGGCTAACTTAAACACTAAAGACTTTATGCATCCCTGCCCATTTTAAGTGGAACTGAAGTATTTGTACTATACATGGATACATTGCATATACCTGTGCATCACATAGACAACAATACTGTACAAAGCCAACAAACACATTGGTCTGTTTGCCTTCAGGGACTCCTCTCAACAGCAGCTGCAAGAAGCAACAGGAGCCAAAAGACCCAGAACAGCTTTGAGAGAAGAGGAGAAGCAGAGGCTGTCTGAAGAGGTCTGCAACACCATCCTGGATCACACCAAAGAAAGGTTCTCTTTCTCTGGCCACCTTGTGAGTGCTACCTTACTGCAAGCAGACATGTTTGAAAGGTACTGCCATTCAAAAAAATAAAAAATCTGTTCATGTTCATTTTTACAAATCTATACAATTGGCCAGAATATGGTTGTTCATATTTACAAATCTATACAATTGGCCAGAATATGGTTGTTCATTTTTACAAAGCCATACATATTGTTTATGCAGTGTTGAGGAATGTGAAAGAACACCCTTGATTATTTTTACTGTGATAACTTATTTTGCTTTTGTAAGCCAACACTTTTGAGATCAGTCAATAAATGCTTCTGGTATTGACTTATATGCTGCCCCTGTCTTCATGTTGTTGCTGGACATATCTTTTTAGAAATGTGTGTAGGTCACCTAAATCATCAGAAAAATTGCCCCTCCTGAGAATTTTTTCAGGAGCCGCCACTGGTACTGTACCAAACAACCCATGATGAGTCAACCTGCATGAAGAACACATGGTTTCGTTTAGGCAATTTCATTCGTTTGACATTTGGCAATGTGAACACGACCAGACCAAATGGAAAAAAAATACAATGTAACAAATAATCAAACTCTGATTAGAACTATAGCAAACTAACTTTGTGTGAAAAGTGACATATTACAGACACTAGAACGGCAAACTCGGACTAACAAACTACTCAATATCTCTACTGTTCTCCTGATTAGAAGTAGGCCTGCGAGGAGTGAAAAACAACCTCAAGTCCAACACGAGGAAGAAGTCTGGGAACATCTTTGAGGGCATTGCAAAACGTGGAGATCCAACGTTGCTCAACAAGATCTACCCAGAGCTCTACATCACAGAGAGTGAAGGGGAGAACAGAGAGCACGAGGTTTGGAAGATGGACGATACGGCTCGGACCAAAGCATTTCAAGACCATGCAATCAACTGCAATGACGTCTTCAAATCCATATTCCAACAAGAGGCATCCGTCAGAACTCTGCTGACGAAGGGTATCGCTGGCATCGGAAAATCAGTCTCGGTGCAGAAGTTCATCCTTGACTGGGCAGAAGGAAAAAGCCAATCAGGATGTAGATTTTGTCTTTGTCCTTCTATTTAGGGACTTGAATCGAAACAAAGACGACCAGTACAGTCTGTTGGAGCTCCTGAGTGACTTCCACCCTGAACTTTCAGATATGGAAGACACAAAGAAGGTGGTCGCCTGTAAAATTGTGTTAATCTTTGACGGCCTCGATAAAAGTAAACTTCCACTATATTTCCATAACAACAAGAGATTGTCTAATGTAACCAAGACAACATCAGTGGACGTGCTGCTGACAAACCTCATCTAGGGGAATCTGCTTCCTTCTGCTCTCCTCTGGATAACCTCCCGACCAGCAGCAGTTGATAAGATACCCTCCGACTGTTTTGACCGTGTAACAGAAGTTCGGGGATTCAACGACCCACTGAAAGAAGAATACTTCAAGAGATTCAGTGATGATGAAAACCTGTCCAGCAAAATCATCTCACACATAAAGACGTCGAGGAGTCTCTTAATCATGTGTCACATTCCAGTCTTCTGTTGGATTACTGCCATGGTTCTTCGGAACATGTTGAGAGGATCCTGTTCTGAAGAAGTCCCTAAAACTCTGACTGAGATGTACATTCGTTTTCCTACTCACTCTGACAAGCATGAAGAACAAGAAATATAATGGGAAAAACGAACCAGATCCTCGTATTCTGTCAGAGTCTGACGTACAGAAGCTTGGAAAACTAGCCTTCCAAAACTTGGAAAAGAGCAATCTGGTGTTTTCTGAAGACGATCTGAGGGGGTGTGGCATTGATGTCAAAGAAGGCTTCTTGCTCTCAGGGATGTGCACAGAGATCTTCAGAGAGGAGGACCCAATGTTTAGAGCAAACAAGTACAGCTTTGTGCATCTCACCATTCAAGAGTTCTTCACTGCACTCTACGTTTCCTACATTTATGTTAAGTGAAAATGTCAACCCGTTCACTTCAAGACAGAAAAGGTTACCGGTACCACTTGATGAGGAAGACATCCGCCCTCAACCTGAAGTTTTTCAGAGAACATTGTTTGACTTGCAGAAGAGTGCGGTGGACGAAGCGTTGAAGAGCGAGACCGGTCACCTCGACCTCTTCCTGGGCATCTCACTGGAGTCCAATCAGATCCTCTTGAAAAGCCTACGGCTCCAGACAGAGGAGACCCAGAGAGGATCCAGAATACCATCCAGAACATCAAAGAAAAGCACTCACCTGGCAACCATGGCAACCAGGCTTTTATAGACCTTGTGAAGCAATACTCCTCGGAGCGGTGTATCAATCTCCTTCTCTGTTTGATGGAGTTGAACAATAACTCGCTGGTGGAGGAAATTCATAGTCGGACGCCTGGTCAGTGTTCAGCGCTGGCCTACAAGCTGCTGATGTCAGAGGAGGTGCTGGGTGAATTTAACATGAGAAAATACAGCACAACACTAGAGGGTCGTTGGAGACTGGTCCCGGTAGTTAGACACTGCAGGAAGGCGGAGGTGGAGCGACTCTCTGCTGCACTGGGGGACCCTCGCTGTGCCTTGCAGGTTTTGGGGTGAGAGTCTCACACAATCCTGTTGCAATATAAATGTTATATTGAGTGCGAGTGTGTTTGAGTGTGTTTCACTCAATCCCATGCCAACTGCTCTCTGCGGGCTGTGTGGTTGTCTGGTCACAGAGGAAGGCTGTGTGGTTGTCTGGTCACAGAGGAAGGCTGTGTGGTTGTCTGGTCACAGAGGAAGGCTGTGCTTCTCTGGCTTCAGCTCTGAGGTCAAACCCCTCCCACCAGAGGGAACTGGACCTGAGCTACAATCACCCAGGAGACTCTGGAGTGAAGCTGCTCTCTGCTAGACTGGAGGATCCACACTGTAGACTGGAGGAAGTGTAGCCTAATATGAACATTTCCCCCCACTTTGAATACCGCTGAACAAATGACAGCAATGACTGTAAGAACTGTATGAACAGCTGTCTGTCTGTGTCAGTCTGTCTGTTCTTCTGCCTCTCCTATAGTGTGGAACATGAATCAAACCAGGCATGAGATAATGTGAGTCTGAATACAAATCTGACATAGAATATAATGTACAGGAACCTGTCCAGGCCCGAACATATTATTGCACATTTGAATCACCATCAGTATGCAAAACTTCTGACATCGATAACAACCCCTTTGTTGTAGAGTTTCCTATACTCATTCCTGTGTGTGTGTGTGTGTGTGTGTGTGTGTGTATTTTTCTGTAGATGCCTGTGAGCTCACCATGGACCCTGATTGCATAAAATGACACTGTCTGAGGAGAACAAGAGATTAGAGGAGACAGATTCCAGGGATAGTAAACTTGGACAACGTCCAGGATGTGCGCTGTACCCAGGGCCTGTCTGGAGTCTGTGTTTACTGGCAGGCTGAGGGGACTGGCTCCTTTTCTATTTGGGTGACGTTCACAGAAAACAGTCCAGAGAGAACATCTTTTGATTATTATTACACCTTTTACGACGACAGCTGCAATATTTCAAGCCAAATAAATAACATCCACCGCAAATGTGGCGATCGTCCCCACCTCTAAGTGTGTGGGGGGTGTTTCTGGCCAGCACTCTGTACTTCTACAGTGTCTCCTCAGACATACTGAGCCATCTGTACACGATCCTCGACATGCCGTTGTTTACTGAGCCTAGATATCCAGCATTCAAGACTCACAAGGTGGGAGAGTTTGGCTCTGTCACAATACAAACCGTGTGATCAGATTCACAACCAGGGAGAGTTTGGCTCTGTCACAATACAAACCGTGTGATCAGATTCACAACCAGGGAGAGTTTGGCTCTGTCACAATACAACTACCCCTTCACTCAGAGAGATGACACCCACCTGTCTCATCACAACTACCCCTTCACTAGGGGAACCCCCTCCATCCAACCCCTTCACTCAAGAGAGATGACACCCACCTGTCTCATCACAACTACCCCTTCACTCAGAGAGATGGCACCCACCTGTCTCAACATAACTACCCCTTCACTCAGAGAGATGACACCCACCTGTCTCATCATAACTACCCCTTCACTCAGAGAGATGACACCCACCTGTCTCATCACAACTACCCCTTCACTCAGAGAGATGACACCCACCTGTCTCATCACTAACTACCCCTTCACTCAGAGAGATGACACCCACCTGTCTCATCAACAACTACCCCCTTCACTCAGAGAGATGGCACCCACCTGTCTCATCATAAACTACCCTTCACTCAGAGAGATGACACCCACCTGTCTCATCATAACTACCCCTTCACTCAGAGAGATGACACCCACCTGTCTCATCACAACTACCCCTTCACTCAGAGAGATGACACCCACCTGTCTCATCATAACTACCCCTTCACTCAGAGAGATGACACCCACCTGTCTCATCACAACTACCCCTTCACTCAGAGAGATGACAATTATGTTTTGATTAGAAAACGTTATGTAATAAACGTAATAAATATAATTCAGCTTTGGACAGTCACTTGATGTTGTAATTATCAGATGCTAAGCTGACATATGACATTTGGAATTGTTTTAAGATGGTCATACTATGGATCATTGAGCTTTTTGATTTAGAATTTTAGGACCCCCTTTAGGTATCAACAAAAATATATGAAAAAAATATTTGATAAAATATTTAAATTTGGCCTTTACTACTAAAGCCCATAGAAAAGCATTGAATAACACATTCATACATGGCAAAAAAGACAGTCCAAAATGTATCATAAGAAACAAGGTTTTGAGGTGTCTGTCCTGTATCTAGGAGACATAAGAAAGATCAGGAAATATTTTTTTTTTTAAATAATTTATTTTACACATATTAAACCCCTTTTTGAGTAGGCACAAAACTACTTCCATACCTCCATTCGTTTTTTTTTACCGGTACCGTTACCTTCAGACGAGTCACGTGGCACTTGTGGGGGTCATAGAGGAAAACGGAGAACACAATCGTGAGAGTCTCGGAAGTTAAAGACATTTTCGTGAGAAGACAGATTTTTCGGGTATGACAAACATCGCTCTAGCTCTGTCACCTTTCACCTTTCACCGCAGATTTGGAAATGCGACACCGGCGAATGAGGTGGATTGAGATGCATCCCAAAATAACAAACATCTCTACCGTAAACTGATGGATGTTGATGGAGATTTTTTTTGTTATGTAACTTAAGATTGACACACCGGTGCGTCAATCGACTCTAGGGGGTTAACTCCTGAGGTGCTGACCTGTTGCACCCTCAACCACTGTGATTATTATTTGACCCTGCTGGTCATCTCTGAATGTTTGAACATCTTGAAGAATGATCTGGCCTTAATGGTCATGTACTCCTATAATCTCTACCGGTCACAGCCAGAAGAGGACTGGCCACCCCTCAGAGCCTGGTTCCTCTCTAGGTTTCTTCCTAGGTTCCTGCCCAGGAGTTTTTCCTAGTCACTGTGCTTCTACATCTGCTTTGCTTGCTGTTATTTTTTTTTTTGGGCTGGGTTTCTGTATAAGCACTGTGACATCTGCTGATATAAAAAGGGCTTTATAAATAAATGTGCTTGATTGAGGAGAGGGAGGAGGGGGGGGGGGGGGGGTAAAGGGAGAGTGATACTACAGAGTGATAGAGGAAAGAGAGAGAGAGAGGAGGGGGAGAGTGATACTGTATCAGCAGGGATGGGAAAACTTTGTTGGGATTTTGGAGAAAAAAAAATTGACTGATTTGTTTGTTGTTTGATTTGTTCGTCGAAATCAATATGGGCCAGAAAAAGGGTAGTTATTTGAACATATATAGGTCAATTATAATTTCTATATACTTTCTATCTAGTTTAAGACATTCAAGTGTGGCCTGGAGAGTTTTTTTCTAATCCCCCAAAATACCTCCCCCCCTTTGGGTCGCAGACAAAGATGAACAGTCAGCCAGCTAGAATGCAGTGTAACCTGTTAAACTTGTCTGGTGATGACAACACTAAAGTTACATGACAGTTTCTGATCAGTAATGTGACAGGTTGGTTAGAATCTAATCCTTTTACCTTATAGTTTCTGATCAGTAATGTGACAGGTTGGTTAGAATATAATCCTTTTACCTTATAGTTTCTGATCAGTAATGTAACAGGTTGGTTAGAATCGAATCCTAGATCTGATCTTAGTCCTGACTCGTGCACGGGGAAGAACAGGTGTGTTACTGTCATACAGCCTCCATTTTGACTGAGACACAGAGGAGACATGCAGACAGCAGACTGACACGACACACAACTACCGTGAGTATATATGTGTGTGTGAGAGAGACACAGAGAGATGTTTTGAAAGTTTTTTTCGTGGTGTGTGACTGTAGGTTGGCTTTGTTCAGTGGTGTAAAGTACTTAAGTAAAAATACTTTAAAGTACTACTTAAGTAGTTTTTACTACTAAAGTATATTTAAAACCAAATACTTTTACTCAAGTAGCATTTTACTGGGTGACTTTTACTTGTCATTTTCTGATAATGTATCTTTACTTTTACTCAAGTATGACAATTGGGTACTTTTTCCACAACTGGCTTTGTTCCACTGAATGTGAGTTTACCATTTCTGTGTATATGTATTTCCCAATATTTGCTTGTGAATGTTTGTTTCATGTCCAAGTTCAGCTGTTTGTTTGGTGTGTGTGTGTGCGTATGTTTGTGTTTTAGTCTACGTGCAAATTAGTAGTCTCGCATTATGTCTGTTTCGGATCATTTGAATGTAGTATTAATGAACCGTTTGCTATTCTGTCATTCCAGATCAGTACACACAAACCTCTTCTCGCTTCCTCCTCCTCCTCCTCTCCTCCCTGTCTGCTATGGGGGGCTCCTCCTCTAAGAAGAGTGTGTTTGGGGGAAGAAAGAAGAAACGGGTCTCAGTGTTGACCTGGAGTGAACTGAAGGGGCCGCTATCCAGTAAGAAACAGAAGAGAAGCATCATTATTCCTACTCTGGACAAACTGTCAGTGGAGAACCTGAAGAGGGAGGTCCTTACTCCCAAGAAGAGGTTTTCATTGGCCGGGAAGAGGAAGGAGTCGCTGTCATTGGGTAACTCTAGGAAGGAGTCTGTGTCACTGAAGAGTCTCTCTATGGGGAAGAGGAAGAAAGAGTTGAAGAAAGGAGAACTGAAGATATTCTCTCTGGATAACATCAAGAAGGAATCACCTTCACCACCACCACCACCCAAAACTATATTCTCTCTGGTTAACATCAAGAAGGAACCACCACCAGCACCATCCAAAAATATATTATCTTTGGTTAACATCAAGAAGGAACCACCACCAGCACCACCCAAAAAGAAATTCTCTCTGGTTAACATCAAGAAGGAACCACCACCAGCACCACCCAAAAATATATTATCTTTGGTTAACATCAAGAAGGAACCACCACCAGCACCACCCAAAAATACATTCTCTCTGGTTAACATCAAGAAGAAATCGCCTCCCAAAGAGAGATTATCCCTTGCAAATGTTAACCCCTTACTTTAAACCTGACCTATGCCCTGGACAGAGACAGACAGACGGACGGACGGACAGACAGACAGGCAGTCAGACAGACAGACAAGTAGACATACAGAGTCAGATGGCCAGGGAGTCAGAGAGAGAGACAGATGGCCAGGGAGTCAGAGAGAGAGACAGGTGGCCAGGGAGTCAGAGAGAGAGACAGATGGCCAGGGAGTCAGAGAGAGAGACAGATGGCCAGGGAGTCAGAGAGAGAGACAGATGGACAGACAGTCAGAAGTGTTGTAGGTTCTCTTTAATAAAAGCTGTTTCAACCATTTCTGAACATTAAACTGATTGTCAGGTCACAGAAACAACCAGAACACAGTCTCCAATACAGACCGCTCTCTGGTAAATATTCTATTCATTCATCCTCTATACAGCTAAACCACTGGCTCTGCCACCAGCTTGAAATAACACTTATTCATGTTACCATACTAGAACTTACTGATGACTTTACATGTATAAAATAATGTATATGTTAGGGGTCAAGGAAGGGTAAAAATGAACTTGGTGGTGTGGAAAATCCCTGAGTGAAAGTTACTGTGAGAGAAAAGGGGAACGGTGTATATGACCAGGTCTGTTGAGTAAGGGGAACAGAGTATATGACCAGGTCTGTTGAGTAAGGGGAACGGAGTATATGACCAGGTCTGTTGAGTAAGGGGAACAGAGTATATGATCAGGTCTGTTGAGTAAGGGGAACAGAGTATATGACCAGGTCTGTTGAGTAAGGGGAACAGAGTATATGATCAGGTCTGTTGAGTAAGGGGAACAGAGTATATGACCAGGTCTGTTGAGTAAGGGGAACAGAGGGTCACTGATAAACATCATGGAGAAGTCACTGGACAAAGAGGAACTCCTAGCAGACTGCTCGACCACGAAGACAACAATGCAACATTTAGGCAGTATCGGGCAACAGATAGCAGTTCTGAGACGTTACACCCCTAATCTCATCTTGACATATAAATGGCTGTCTGATCATGTGCAAAATGTGAATAAACTTGGTTTAAGCTTTTTCTAGTCGACGTTTGAGTTTTTACACTGTTTGTTCAGAACCTAACAATACATTTAATAACAGTAAATGTCTTTACAAATCCCCCCCCCCCCCTTCTTAAAACTCACCTAACATGTTGTGCACACCTCTCCAACTCCTACACACACACACACACCTCTCCAACTCCTACACACACACACACACACACCTCTCCAACTCCTACACACACACACACCTCTCCAACTCCTACACACACACACACACCTCTCCAACTCCTCCCCCTCTCTGTATACACTCAGTGTAGACTATTCCCGTAAGATAAAAAATGATCTTTCATAAATTAAACATCAAATAAAAAATTAAAAGTCATCTATATATATATATAGTTGTGATGGTAATGATGGGTTTTCTACTCAGCTGACTTGCTAGTGAAATGAACACAATGAACAGGAGGTTAGGTAGACAACATGTCAACACATCTCTGAGGACAATGTCAAAGTTGTTTCAAACAGAAATGTCAGTGCGGTAACTATAGTTATTGGTCATGTTTCTGCACGATGCAGTATCGTCAGTCATACAAACACAACATTTTACATGAATACAACTAAAAATCACATCTATACAACAAAAACATTTTAGCATGATTCAGAAATTCCCCAAAAAGAAATCACAAAGTGCGTTTGTCAGCTCTCTGTGGACGTCATCATGTCCTCCGTTCCCTTCAGAATGAGAGGAGCTCCCTTAGTCTTCTCCTCCAGCTCCGCATCACGATTCTCAGACGGCTGTAGAGATGGAGAGGGGTGGAGAGGGAGGAGGATGGAGGGATGGAGGGGGAGGAGGGATGGAGGGATGGAGAGGGAGGAGGAGGGACGGATGGAGGGATGAGGGATGGAGGGGGATGGAGGTGATGGGAGGGAGGGCGGGATGGAGAGGGATGGAGAGATGGAGGGAGATGGAGGGGATGGAGGGAGATGGGGATGGAGGTGATGAGGGATGGAGGGGATGAGAGGTGAGGTGGAGCGTGGATGGAGGAGGGTGGAGGGGAGATAGGGATGGAGGAGATGGAGGGAGATGGGATGGATGGAGGGATAGGGTGTTGGAGGAGATGAGAGGGATGGAGAGGGATGGAGGGGATTAGGTGGAGGACAAGACAAGAAGAGAGGGAATAAAAGGAGCCAGAAGGGAGTTAGTATGTTCCATCCTGCGTGTCAATCTTATGACCAAGTACAAGCAATAAAGATGGGATCACAACACATCCGAGATATCCATCCCTGCTTCTCTCTCTATGACAAGCCCAAGCAATAAGATGGATCACAACAACAATCCACCTATCATCCCTGCTTCTCTCTCTTATGACAAGTACATCAATAAGAGGATCACAACACATCCAGATATCATCCCTGCCTTCTCTCTCTATGAACAAGTCACAGCAATAAGATGGATCACAACAACTAGCCAGATATCATCCCTGCTTCTCTCTCTATGACAAGCACAGCAATAAGATGGATCACAACACATCCAGATATCATCCCTGCTTCTCTCTCTATGACAAGCACAGCAATAAGATGGATCACAACACATCCAGATATCATCCCTGCTTCTCTCTCTATGACAAGCACAGCAATAAGATGGATCACAACACATCCAGATATCATCCCTCTTCTCTCTCTATACAAGCACAGCCTAGATGGATCACAACACATCCAGATATCATCCCTGCTTCTCTCTCTATGACAAGCACAGCAATAAGATGGATCACAACACATCCAGATATCATCCCTGCTTCTCTCTCTATGACAAGCACAGCAATGAGATGGATCACAACACATCCAGATATCATCCCTGCTTCTCTCTCTATGACAAGCACAGCAATAAGATGGATCACAACACATCCAGATATCATCCCTGCTTCTCTCTCTATGACAAGCACAGCAATAAGCTGGATCACAACACATCTCAGATATTCATCCTGCTTCTTCTCTCTATGACACGCACAGCAATAAGATGGATCCACAAACACCTCCAGATCTCATCCCTGCTTCTCTCTCTATGACAAGCCACAGCAATAAGACGGATTCCACAACACATCCCAGATATCATCCCTGCTTCTCTCTCTATGACACGCACAGGCAATAAGATGGATCACAACCCCTCCAGATATCCTCCCTGCATTCTCTTCTCTTATGAACAAGCACAGCATAAGATGGATCACAAAACACATCCAGATTCATATCCCTGCCTCTCTCTCTCTATGACAAGCACAGCAATAAGATGGATCACATCACATGAGCAAGGCACTTTAACCCTAATTGCTCCTGGAAGTGTCTGCTAAATGACTAAAAAATGATTTGTTTCTCCTCTGTCACGTTATGTAGTGTCTGGACCTCCCAGTGTTGTATATCCGCACGATGCTGCCAGGCATAACCAAGCGATCAGGCAGACAGACACAGATTGAGCATGTATTCATTTTTATGGCTTTATTTTCAGAGATTGTGTCGTACAAAAATAAAACAAAAGAACAGTAACATCTTTTTTAAATGAAAGAGAGAAAAACGGTTTCTCTGTTAAATTGAGTATTATTATATGTTTTTACAATATGGGGAAAAAATATGTTTTCATATGTGCTTATGAAAATAATGCATATTAACAGGCATATTTATTATTTAAAAAATCTAAATATTTAGAATATTCATAACCAACATTTCCCTTTTAGAGTTTCTCAGGTATAAAAAATGTCCCTTTTCAGAAATGATTTCAGCCAGTAATGGTGAGAGTTGGGGTGCGTCCCAACAATCTCTCTTTTCTCCTGAAGGGTGCACTCGTTCACTACATTCCACAGATCTAACAGCATTGGATTGGTGGAGGCATGGGCTGGAGGGAGATTCCACCATATTTCCAATACCAGTCATTTCCTTTCAAATCAGTGAAGGGAAGTGAAGGAGTGCACACTTTGGGAGGAAAGAGAGACAATTGGGACGTAACCCAGGAGAGCAGAAAAGGACGACTTGCTTTCACTTGGACCACTGGGGGCACTATTGTATATCACACATTTCTGTCTGTCTGTCTGTCTGTCTGTCTGTGTGTGTGTGTGTGTGTGTGTGTGTGTGTGTGTATGTGTGTGTGTGTGTGTGTGCGCAAAAATGACAGTCTGTGTCATGGGTGGGGTAGGGTAAGTACGAGGGGAACATATTTCACTGTCACACCACAGAGTTAGTGTAGAATAGCGTGCGACACTGAAATGTTTCCCCCTCCCTCCTGTATTGTGCCGTTTGTTGGTTCTCCATTAGTGACATCACTGACAGGATGTGTAAATGTTTAAATGTTTGTGTGGGGGTTCTGTAAACACACACACTCCTGTGCCTCCACGCAGAGAGCAACAACACAGCTATGAGTCAGCCGTGTCTGTGTGTGTGTATGTATCCGCGTGCGTGCATGCGTTTTAATGTATCTGTGCGTGTGATAATGTGTGTGTGTGTGTGTGTGTGTACATGCCAAAGCTACAGGTCACAGGAAGCATGACAAATAGTCAGACATGTTTGAACCACTTTAACATCTGGTTGACATACCACCAGGCTGTCCAGGGGTGGCAGACAACCTTCCAACAACGTTATAGAGACATTGTCACTATACAGAAATGCTGTATGGAAGGTCACTACGGGTGGCAGACAACCTTCCAACAACGTTATAGAAACATTGTCACTATACAGAAATTCTGTATGGAAAGTCACAACGGGTGGCAGACAACCTTCCAACAACGTTATAGAAACATTGTCACTATACAGAAATTCTGTATGGAAAGTCACAACGGGTGGCAGACAACCTTCCAACAACATTATAGAAACATTGTCACTATACAGAAATTCTGTATGGAAAGGCACTACGGGTGGCAGACAACCTTCCAACAACGTTATAGAGACATTGTCACTATACAGAAATTCTGTATGGAAAGTCACTACGGGTGGCAGACAACCTTCCAACAACGTTATAGAAACATTGTCACTATGCATTATCAGAGCCCAGTATGGACCCAACTGAAGACCAAAACATTCACTGCAGGGGCTGACCTTATTCAACCGGACTCATTCAAGTCTCTCTCTAGACACACATACTGAGACTTCTGCATTCTAGGCTGCCCAGAACCATGGTAACAGAGTATACATCAGCCCCGTCACTCTCAATCCACTCACAACATTATGTTTGATCTTTTTATATTTTTACAGATAGCATGTAGGCTACCTCTCCTCTTGTTTTTGATACCATGCAGTAACTTTTCCAAACAGTACAGCTACTGTTCATTTCCAAACAATAATAATCGACATTATTAACTATTCATATTGTTCTATATTGGTAAGAACGGAGACTGATGGGGCTGGTACATTTACAGTATGCAATAAGCTGGCGCAACATACAGTATTATAACAATGAGCATTCTCCTACAAACACTAAAACATGGCACATTCTCTGATAGTCTGTTTGCTTGTAGGCGGTTGTTGTCAAGGCCTGGTGTTGTAGGGGTATTTTGTTACGTTGTAGTTATTGTAGGTGTTGTGGTGGTATTTTGTTACGCTGTAGTAGTCACTGTAGTGGTATTTTGTCCATTGTAGTAGAGACTGTTAGCTAGTTGTCTGAGTGGTCATGGTGATGAACGTTGCTATACACCTGTCAGTGTTGACATTTTTACGGTGTAACTGCTTGTTACGTCGTCGTTGTACGTCTGTCACCTATATGCGTCTACTGTCCTCGTCTGTGTCCGAGTGGTCGCCGTGGGGACTTTTATGATTGTTGTCGTCGCTGTGGTTGTCATGGTGATTGTTGCCGTTACTCTCGGAGAGTACCTCTTGCTCCAGGGTGTTGCAGCGCATGCCGGACAGCGTGTGGTTGTGGCCGGCAACGTCGCGGCGACACAGGCAGCAGAGGATCCTCTTGAAGGTCTGTAACATGTCCGTGTCTCTGAAGCTGTAGATGATGGGGTTGACCAGGGAGTTGCACTCAGCCAGGACCAGACAGTACTTCTCATAACGCAGCACCTGGCACGAAACACAGCCCAGACCATCCAACATCAACAACACCAGGCCTGGGGTCCAGCAGATCACAAAACAACCTGGAGGAGAGGAGGGGGAGGAGGAGAGAAGAGACAATTGTAAAAATTCAGCTGGTCAGTGAATACTGTACACACACAGAGTCAGTATCCACTGTCAGTGTGTGGCTTGGGGTTGGTCGGACAGATCTGATTTCATTATGATAATATTCAATTACACGATTTCACGCCTCAGGAATTCATACTGTACACAGACACACGCTCACACATACACACACAGGCGTGCTCACACTCACATATGTACTGTGAGAGAGAGAATGCGAGGTTGAAATGGAGGAGTGTTTTTGTGTCGTGGTGGTTTAACTATGCTGTTCCCTGTCAGGACATGCACAGAGATTCCTCGCTCACACACACACATTGTTTTACTATCCTTGTGGGGACCAAACAATTGATTCCCATTCAAAATCCTATTTTCCCTAAACCTAATTCTAACCCTAATCGTAACCCTAAACCTAACCCTGAAAAAGGCTTTTCCTTGTGAGGACCGGTTTAATGTCCCCACTTGTCCAAACGTTCCTCGTTTTACGGTCATGTGAGGACTTCAGGTACCTAGTAAAACCCAACACACGCAGCCACTCTCACTCACGCTTGCCTTGACATGCCAGAAAGAGAGAGAAAGAGAGAGAGAAAGAGAGATTCAGTGACTGTGTATGAGCCTATATGTGAGAAATAGAGATGTCAAATTCCTTCTTTTGAGGAATTTAATCAAGAAGTAAAAAATGCTGGAGCAGAAGCTTGGGAGAGAGAGAGAGAGAGAACAGGAAAGAGGAGAAGGAAGGAGGGATGTGGGGGGGAAGTAGAGTGTCTGGTTAAACCCGTTAGGACAAGCCAGAGGTGCCTGCATTTATATATATATATATATATATATATGAGAGAGAGAGAGAGAGAAAGAGAAAGAGAGAGTGTGTGTGTGTGTGCACCCATACCTGCTCGTGTGTGTGTCTGCATGTATGTGTGAACCCCCCCCGTCCCTCCTCACCCAGTATCATAGACACAGTCTTCATCAGGTTGAACACAGTCTCCTTGTGTCGTATCTGGCTGGTGTGCTGAGACATCCTCTGGCTCTTGTGTCTGACGTACACAAAGATCCTGGTGTAGGCGGCCACCATGAGAGAGAAGGTGAACAGGTTGAGAACAGCCCAGAACACCAGGTAGGAGCGGCTGTACATGGGGGCCATGGTGGAGCAGTTGGCCAGGTTGCACAGGCAGTGCCAGCCCATGGTGGGAACCAGGCCCATGAAGATGGCTAGTCCCCAGATAAAGGCGATAAGCAGCACCACGCGGCGGTTGGTCATCTTACTGTGGAGCTGAGATAATATATACTTTATTAGTCCATGCCAGATGGAAATGAGTCTATGGCTTTTCTCCCAACCGCTCTGATATACTATAAACACACACACCCTGCATGGTGAAGATGGTCTGGTGGCGCTCCAAGGCGATGGCCAGTAGGTTTAATACCGATGCTGTCAGACTGGTGTCGATCAGGGTCTGGAGGGAGGATTAATTCATCTATATATTTGAAGGGTTTAACGTATTGATTGAGATAGGACAGTTGAGAGGAAACAGGAAAGGTAGGAGAGATAGTGAGATAGGACAGTTGAGAGGAAACAGGAAAGGTAGGAGAGATAGTGAGATAGGACAGTTGAGAGGAAACAGAAGGTAGGAGAGATATGAGTAGGACAGTTGAGAGGAAACAGAAGGTAGGAATAGTGAGATAGGACAGTTGAGAGGAAACAGGAAAGGTAGGAGAGATAGTGAGATAGGACAGCTGAGAGGAAACAGGAAAGGTAGGAGAGATAGTGAGATAGGACAGTTGAGAGGAAACAGGAAAGGTAGGAGAGATAGTGAGATAGGACAGCTGAGAGGAAACAGGAAAGGTAGGAGAGATAGTGAGATAGGACAGCTGAGAGGAAACAGGAAAGGTAGGAGAGATAGTGAGATAGGACAGCTGAGAGGAAACAGGAAAGGTAGGAGAGATAGTGAGATAGGACAGTTGAGAGGAAACAGGAAAGATAGGAGAGATAGTGAGATAGGACAGTTGAGAGGAAACAGGAAAGGTAGGAGAGATAGTGAGTCAGAAAGCCAGTGAGTGGATTTTAACCCATGTCATCTCTGGTCACACAGGCCACAAGGATTCTGTTTTCATTTAAAGTATGTGGAACGTTTGCTCATAATAGCTTAGTAGGAATATTCACACAAACCTCTTACTATACAGTACTTTGACAGGAAAACTATATTTTCCCAGTTTGAAAGAAACCAATGTGGATTCATCGATTCATGGGCCCCAGCAAGCATCAACTCCGGGACGGAACAGGATCAGAAATCGGCCCTGGCTTTTCTGACACACCAGCCCATTTTTAGGGTTAGGGTGTGTGTTGAACTCTTCCCTACCTGGCGTACAAACCACTGGTTCAGGGTCAGCTTGATGGTCCAGGGCCCAGTGTGGAACATCAGGTGCAGGTAGGCGATACCTGAGAACAGGTCTGCTGCCGCCAGGTTGCCTAGGGGACAGTAGACAAGGAAATGAGTAGGGTTGCTAAGGGGGGTAAATATTACTTGTAACTTTCTAAATGTACCAGTTAACTCCTGGAATTTCTCTTTACTTTCAAGGATTTTAGGGAATTTTCACAGATAAAAAAATATGACAGGAATACGACTAAATTTTTTGAAAAGTATAATTTACCAAAGATCCTGTAGATTTCCAAAATGACCAACATTTCAGAAAATTCTGGTAGCTTTGGTAAATGAGTGGGAGCAGCTGCTAATTGACAGACACACACGCCCTACCTAGCAGATAGTAGATGGGGAAGTGGAATCGTCGGTTGATGAAGATGGCCACCATGACCAGGATGTTGGCCAGGATGACGATGACAGACACGGCCATGCCCAGGCTCACCACCAGGTAGTCCCGAGGACGCCAGTGGTCGCTGATGTTCTTGTCGCTTTGGTCGTAGAAGAACTTCACCGAGCGGTTGCTGTAGCACGTGTCCATCTTGACCAATCAGAGGGGGTGGAGCGTAGAGTGGGCGGGAGTTGTGGAGTGAGTGGGACCCAATCAGATTGCCCGGACGGATGAGTGGTGGCGAGGTTCGAGTGGATGGGACTCGCCCTATTGGTGGGTTGGGGGTGGACTCGCCATGAGGGGTGGGGGGGAATGGACGGCGTCCAGTTTGATTGATGTCTATCTCCTCCAATCGTGTGTGGGCTGAGACGTTGTCCCTTCTCTTTGGTCTGTGGGGGAAAAGAGAAGTAGAATATTTAACAACATAGTTGATCAAAAGACACACACACACTCTATTTTAATCATGACTAGCGTCAGGAGTTTTTTCTTTAGAGCCTTCAACTAGGGTCTAGAGTGTTTCCTGGTCCTGGGCCTAACTATGATGAAACATCCTCCCTGTAACAATCATCCCTACGGCAGTGATGACTGTAAACCAGGCCGCCTGGTGTGGTTTAGATAACAACAACATTCCTTCTACCTCAGTTTATCATCTCTGTAGTCTTTACTGAACCAGGTGAGCTATTACCTATGAAGTGATGTCTTGATTCTAGCAGGTTAGTGGACTGAGAAGATATTCTGATTTACAGTACCGTAACTAGCCTCCCTCCCTCCCCCCTCCCTCGCTCCCTCCCCCCTCGTCTCTCTTCTCTAACAAAAGAAACAGAGCAGCTTTCTAGAGCAGAGACACACCTCACAATTACACAATCCAGCAATGTAACCTAATCTCAATCCAAACACGCGCACACACACACACACACACACGGCCTTGGTGCCCCACTCTACGACTGCGAGACCGAGGGAAACAGAAAGGGAGGAAGAGATGGAAAGAAGAAGAGTGGAAAAGAGAGAGGGAAGATTAAATGTATACAGGAGAGAAATGGAAGAGACTGAAATGGAAAGAAAACATGAAGGGCTGAAAACCAGGATATGGGGGAGAGAGAGAGAGAGACAGAGACAGAGACAGAGACAGAGACAGAGACAGAGACAGAGACAGAGAGGTGTTAAATAGCTGAGTTGGAGTCAGAAACAGAGGAATGCAGAGGGAGTGTTTGTGGTGTGTGTGTGTGTGTGTACTAAGAGAAGTTTCCCTTTTTGACAGCTAAACAGAATGGAAGTACAGCTCTCCCTCGCTTAACCACCAGATATCTAAATCACCATCCCTAACTAACCTTTTTTTTTTTTTTTTCACCTTTATTTAACCAGGTAAGCCAGTTGAGAACAAGTTTTCATTTACAACTGCGACCTGGCCAGGATAAAGCAAAGCAGTGCGATAAAAACAACAACAACACAGAGTTACATATGGGGTAAAACAAAACGTACAGTCAAAAATACAACAGAAATCTATATACAGTGTGTGCAAATGTAGTAAGTTATGGAGGTAAGGCAATAAATAGGCAATAGTGCAAAATAATTACAATTAGTATTAACACTGGAATGATAGATGTGCAAGAGATGATGTGCAAATAGAGATAATGGGGTGCAAATTAGCAAAATAAATAACAATATAGGGATGAGGTATTTGGGTGGATGGGCTGTGTACAGGTGCAGTGATCGGTAAAGTGCTCTGACAACTGATGCTTAAAGTTAGTGAGGGAGATAAGTGTCTCCAGCTTCAGAGATTTTTGCAGTTCGTACCAGTCATTGGCAGCAGAGAACTGGAAGGAATGGCGGCCAAAGGAGGTGTTGGCTTTGGGGATGACCAGTGAGATATACCTGCTGGAGCGCATACTACGGGTGGGTGTTGCTGTGGTGACCAATGAGCTAAGATAAGGCGGGGATTTGCATAGCAGTGATTTATAGATGGCCTGGAGCCAGTGGGTTTGGCAACGAATAAGTAGTGAGGACCAGCCAACAAGAGTGTACAGGTCACAGTGGTGGGTAGTATATGGGGCTTTGGTGACAAAACGGATGGCACTGTGATAGACTACATCCAATTTGCTGAGTAGAGTGTTGGAGGCTATTTTGTAAATGACATCGCCGAAGTCAAGGATCGGTAGGATAGTCAGTTTTACGAGGGCATGTTTGGCAGCATGAGTGAAGGAGGCTTTGTTGCGAAATAGGAAGCCAATTCTAGATTTAACTTTGGATTGGAGATTCTTAATGTGAGTCTGGAAGTTGAGTTTACAGTCTAACCAGACACCTAGATATTTGTAGTTGTCCACATACTCTAGGTCAGACCCGTCGAGAGTAGTGATTCTAGTCGGGTGGGCGGGTGCCAGCAGCGTTCGATTGAAGAGCATGCATTTAGTTTTACTAGTGTTTAAGAGCAGTTGGAGGCTACTGAAGGAGTGTTGTATGGCATTGAAGCTCGTTTGGAGGTTTGTTAACACAGTGTCCCATGAAGGGCCAGATGTATACAAAATGGTGTCGTCTGCGTAGAGGTGGATCTGAGAGTCACCAGCAGCAAGAGCGACATCATTGATATACACAGAGAAAAGAGTCGGCCCAAGAATTTAACCCTGTGGCACCCCCATAGAGACTGCCATAGGTCCAGACAACAGGCCCTCCGATTTGACACATTGAACTCTATCTGAGAAGTAGTTGGTGAACCAGGCGAGGCAGTCATTTGAGAAACCAAGGCTATTTAGTCTGCCAATAAGAATGCGGTGGTTGACAGAGTCGAAAGCCTTGGCCAGGTCGATGAAGACGGCTGCACAGTACTGTCTATTATCGATCGCGGTTATAATATCGTTTAGGACCTTGAGCGTGGCTGAGGTGCACCCATGACCAGCTCGGAAACCGGATTGCATAGCAGAGAAGGTACGGTGGGATTCGAAATGGTCGGTGATCTGTTTGTTAACTTGGCTTTCAAACACTTTCGAAAGGCAGGGCAGGATGGATATAGGTCTGTAACAGTTTGGATCTAGAGTGTCACCCCCTTTGAAGAGGGGGATGACCGCGGCAGTGTTCCAATTTCTGGGGATCTCAGACGTTACGAAAGAGAGGTTGAACAGGCTAGTAATAGGGGTTGCGACAATTTCGGCGGCTAGATTTAGAAAGAAAGGGTCCAGATTGTCTAACCCAGATGATTTGTAGGGGTCCAGATTTTGCAGCTCTTTCAGAACATCAGCTGTCTGAATTTGTGTGAAGGAGAAGCGGGGGGGGCATGGGCAAGTTGCAGCGGAGGGTGCAGAGCTGGTGGCCGGGGTAGTGGTAGCCAGGTGGAAAGCATGGCCAGCCGTAGCAAAATGCTTGTTGAAATTCTCGATTATTGTAGATTTATCGGTGGTGATAGTGTTTCCTAGCCTCAGTGCAGTGGGCAGCTGGGAGGAGGTGCTCTTATTCTCCATGGACTTTAGTGTCCCAAAACATTTTGGAGTTAGTGCTACAGGATGCACATTTCTGTTTGAAAAAGTTAGCCTTTGCTTTCCTAACTGCTTGTGTATATTGGTTCCTAACTTCCCTGAAAAGTTGCATATCGCGGGGGCTATTTGATGCTAATGCAGTACGCCACAGGATGATTATGGGGTGGTCAAGGGCAGTCAAGTCTGAGGAGAACCAGGGGCTATATCTGTTCTTAGTTCTGTATTTTTTGAATGGGGCATGTTTATTTAAGATTGAGAGGAAAGCACTTTTAAAAGAACAACCAGGCATCCTCTACTGACGGAATGAGATCTATAGCCATCCAGGATACCTGGGCCAGGTCAATTAGGAAGGCCTGCTCGCTAAAGTGTTTTAGGGAGCGTTTGACAGTGATGAGGGGTGGTCGTTTGACCGCGGACCCGTTACGGACGCAGGCAATAAGGCAGTGATCGCTGAGATCCTGGTTGAAGACAGCAGAGGTGTATTTAGAGGGTAAGTTAGTCAGGATGATATCTATGACGGTACCCATGTTTACGGATTTAGGGTTGTACCTGGTAGGTTCGTTGATAATTTGTGTGAGATTGAGGGCATCTAGTTTGAATTGTAGGATGGCCGGGGTGTTAAGCATATCCCAATTTAGGTCACCAAGCAGTACGAACTCTGAGGATAAATGGGGGGCAATCAATTCACATATGGTGTCCAGGGCACAGCTGGGGGCTGAGGGGGGTCTGTAGCAAGCGGCAACAGTGAGAGACTTATTTCTGGAAAGGTGGATTTTTAGAAGTAGAAGCTCAAAGTGTTTGGGCACAGACCTGGATAGTATGATAGCCTGCATAGCTCTATCTCTACAGTAGATTGTAACTCCGCCCCCTTTGGCAGTTCTATCTAGACGGAAAATGTTGTAGTTGGGGATGGACATTTCAGAATTTTTGGTGGCCTTCTTAAGCCAGGAATCAGACACCGCTAGAACATCAGGGTTGGCGGAGTGTGCTAACACAGTGAATAACTCAAACTTAGGAAGTAGGCTTCTGATGTTAACATGCAGAAAACCAAGGCTTTTACGGTTACAGAAGTCAACACATGATAGCTCCTGGGGAGTAGGAGTGATACTGGGAGGCCCCAGCCAAAATCAAACACATGACCCTGGCATTGCAAGCACCATGCTCTACCAACTGACCCATACATGACTACTACCATAACCCTGATCTGACTGTCTAACTGACCCATACATGACTACTACCATAACCCTGATCTGACTGTCTAACTGACCCATACATGGACTACTACCATAACCCTGATCTGACTGTCTAACTGACCCATACATGGACTACTACCATAACCCTGATCTGACTGTCTAACTGACCCATACATGGACTACTACCATAACCCTGATCTGACTGTCTAACTGACCCATACATGGACTACTACCATAACCCTGATCTGACTGTCTAACTGACCCATACATGGACTACTACCATAACCCTGATCTGACTGTCTAACTGACCCATACATGGACTACTACCATAACCCTGATCTGACTGTCTAACTGACCCATACATGACTACTACCATAACCCTGATCCGACAGCCTAACTGACCCATTCATGACTACTACCATAACCCTGATGTTACTCTCTAACACTTAAAGCAGAATAAACAGCTGTTGGACTACTACATGCTTATCAGTTCAGACAATCTGTTTGTGTCACTGTGCGTCCCGCAACGAGCATGGAGAAAAGAAAGCCAGGGAATTATCTGAGGAGGTCAGACACAAGATTGTAGCCAAGCATGGACAATCTCAAGGCTACAAGTCCATCTCCAGAGACCTTGACGTTCCTGTTTCCACTTCCTGTTTCCACCGTACGTAATGTTATCAAGAGGTATAAGGCCCACACCACTGTAGCTAACCTCCCTGGACATGGCCGCAAGAGAAAACTTCATGGAAGATTGCAGCGACGGATTGTTCGAATGGCGGAGAAAGCACCTCGATCAACTGCCACAGAGATTCAAGCTGACCTTCAAACACACAAGGTACGACAGCTTCAACTCGCACCGTCCGTCGCCAACTCAATGAAAGGGGGATCTATGGTAGGAGACCCAGTATGACCCCACTGCTGAGAGAGACATAAGAACTGGCCAAAACACACCTGAACATGCCAACATCATTCTGGGAGAATGTCCTGTGGACAGATGAGACCAAGTTAGAGCTTTTTGGTAAAGCACACTATCTCTATGTTTAAAGAAAACAAAATGAAGCCTTAGTCAAACGTGGAGGAGGTTCAGTGATGCTTTGCTGCCTCTGGCACTTGGTGCCTTGAACGTGTGCATCATGACATCAGGAGAATACCAAGGCATTTTGGAACGCAATGTCGGACCCAGTGTCAGAAAGCTGGGTCTCTGTCGAAGGTCATGGGTCTTCCAGCAGGACAATGACCCCCAAAACACACTCCAAAAAGTTGGACTGGTCTCATGTGGCCCGCAATGAGTCCCGATCTAAAATCTCATTGAACATTTTGTGGAGAGATCTGAAAACAGCAGTTGGGAGAAGGCACCAAGAGGAGTGGGCCAAACTGCCAGTACAGAAGTGCAGGAAGCTAAGCGATGGCTATAGGAAGCGTTTGATTGCAGTTATTTTGACCAAAGGCTGTGCTACCAGATATTAAGTCTGGGGTGTCAATCATTTAGTCAATGCCATTTCCGTTTATTTTCTGATTTAAATAGATATATTAAGTTCTGAATCAAAAACAAAAGGTTTAGTAATATTAACAGTGAAATAAAGAATTGTGGAGACCAAACACTTTGGTCAATTTCAACTTATTTTTAGGGAACATTTTGAGTTACTTGAAAAAAAGTGCAAGGGTGCTAATATCTTTGGCCACGACTGTACACTGAGGGAAAAACCTGACTGAACAGGGGGTTTCTATGTGGCGATGGAGTCAGAGTTGTGGGTGGCTGGTAGAAGTCCCTCCCGGCACACAGTGAACACGTTTTACATGCAAACAGTGTTCCAGATAGTAGCTCATATTCCTCTTAAGGTCTTATTCTGGAGAAGCTGTTTACACGCAGCTTTGATATCCCGCTCATGAGTATCACTGTATCCATGAATAAACAGAATATTCCTCGTTTAAGTATATTTGGGTTAAATGGAATAGTAACTGAAATATGGACACTGACTGTAGGTCTACAACCTCTCACATGTAGCGTAATATAATATTAACTCCTGCAGAATTATGCATTTCTTGCAGTTAACTTTTACAAATGTTAATTTTGTCTCGGGAACAGGAGTGGAGAATTGTTTCTTTTTCTTTCAACATCTCTTGAGAAAATGCGAATGTAATGTGTTATCTTTGACACTTATGAAAGCAGACAGTATTCCAACCACTAAATATGCACCCAAGACCAACTGAAGTTTTATCAGAAACATGTTATCGTTTTCTCAGCTTTTACACAGAAAGCGGCACAGGTCCTAATCCAGGCACTTGTCATCTCCCGTCTGGATTACTGCAACTCGCTGTTGGCTGGGCTCCCTGCCTATGCCATTAAACCCCTACAATTTATCCAGAACGCTGCAGCCTGTCTGGTGTTCGACCTACCCAAGTTCTCTCATGTCACCCCGCTCCTCCGCACACTCCACTGGCTTCCAGTTGAGGCTCGTATCTACTACAAGACCATGGTGCTTGCCTACGGAGCTGTGAGGGGAATGGCACCTCCTTACCTTCAGGCTCTGATCAGACCCTACACCCAAACGAGGGCACTACGTTCATCCACCTCTGGCCTGCTAGCTCCCCTACCTCTATGGAAGCACAGTTCCCGCTCAGCCCAGTCAAAGCTATTTGCTGCTCTGGCACCCCAATGGTGGAACAAGCTCCCCCACGCCAGTGGAGTCACTGACCACCTTCCGGAGACACTTGAAACCCTACCTCTTTAAGGAATACCTGGAATAGTATAAAGTAATCCTTCTACCCCCTTACCCCACCCCCACCTCTAAAATAAAATAAAAAAGTGGTTGTCCCACTCGCTATCATAAGTTCAATGCACCAATTTGTAAGTCGCTCTGAATAAGAGTGTCTGCTAAATGATGTAAATGTACATTTCCTTAAAACCTGTCAAACTGATGAATTTTGACATTTTGCACAGGACCAATCTTTCCACTGTTTTGGACTTTTTCTCCTCGGTCCCTAAACGAAACAGACAACTTTCCCAGTGTTAACTAGATTACTAATGCCTTCATTCTATTGATGTAAGACCTTATTCTGGTGAGCACTCCTTTATTTAGTCGTCTGGGGCAACAAGTTATGACAGAAGAGAAGCTGCATGTATCTAACTATAGTTGACAAACACAATGGCCTACCAAATGAGGGAAATTATAAGCAGAAACTGGTCTAAATTAGGGGTGAAAGTAGCCAGTAGTAAATTAATTATAGTAGGCTAAATTATTATGGAATTATTATGGTGGATGGAACTGTGCCGGTTAACCTACTTTTTGAAGTGATTTGTTTGAAAACGTCACCCAACACCAATGACATTGACATGTGGCAGACAACAAAAAAACAACAGTAAACGGGATAAGATGTTTACATACCACAGTATCCGGTCTTAGATCACCATGTCCCAGGCATCTTATCTGAGTTTCTCATAACCTGGGATACAAGCCTTTTCGGGTTATTGTAAAATGGGATATGCTGTTTATATGCGTCAACTCAAAAACAGAATACTTCAGTATCCTGAATAATAACGGGATATTGGTGTGCATGTTAACGTCGTCACTGTACAGTTGAAGTCGGAGGTTTACATACACCTAGGTTGGAGTCATTAAAACTTGTTTTTCCAACAATTGTTTACAGACAGATTATTTCACTTATAATTCACTGTATCACAATTCCAGTGGGTCAGACGTTTACATACACTAAGTTGACGGTGCCTTTAAACAGCTTGGAAAATTCCAGAAAATGATGTCATGGCTTTAGAAGCTTATGATAGGCTAATTGACATCATTTGGTGGTCCTCTGTAGCTCAATTGGTAGAGCATGGCGCTTATAACGCCAGGGTAGTGGGTTCGATCCCCGGGACCACCCATACGTAAAAATGCATGCGCACATGACTGTAAGTCGCTTTGGATAAAAGCGTCTGCTAAATGGCATATTATTATTATTAATTGGAGGTGTACCTGTGGATGTATTTCAAGGCCTACCTTCAAACTCAATGCCTCTTTGCTTGATATCATGGGAAAATCAAAAGAAATCAGCCAAGACCTCAGAAAAAAAATTGTAGACCTCCACAAGTCTGGTTCATCCTTGGGAGCATTTTCCAAACGCCTGAAGGTACCACGTTCATCTGTACAAACAATAGTATGCAAGTATAAACACCATGGGACCACGCAGCCATCATACCGCTCAGGAAGGAGACGCGTTCTGTCTCCTAGAGATGAACGTACTTTGGTGCGAAAAGTGCAAATCAATCCCAGAACAACAGCAAAGGACCTTGTGAAGATGCTGGAGGAAACAGGTACAAATGTATCTATATCCACAGTAAAACAAGTCCTATATCGACATAACCTGAAAGGCCGCTCAGCAAGGAAGAAGCCACTGCTCCAAAACCGCCATAAAAAAAAGCCAGACTACGGTTTGCAACTGCACATGGGGACAAAGATCGTACTTTTTGGAGAAATGTCCTCTGTTCTGATGAAACAAAAATAGAACTGTTTGGCCATAATGACCATTGTTATGTTTGGAGGAAAAAGGGGATAGCTTGCAAGCCGAAGAACACCATCCCAACCGTGAAGCACAGGGTGGCAGCATCATGCTGTGGGGGTGCTTTGCTGCAGGAGGGACTGGTGCACTTCACAAAATAGATGGCATCATGAGGAAGGAAAATTATGTGGATATATTGAAGCAACATCTCAAGACATCAGTCAGGAAGTTAAAGCTTGGTCGCAAATGGGTCTTCCAAATGGACAATGACCCCAAGCATACTTCCAAAGTTGTGGCAAAATGGCTTAAGGACAACAAAGTAAAGGTATTGGAGTGGCCATCACAAATCCCTGACCTCAATCCTATAGAAAATGTGTGGGCAGAACTGAAAAAGCATGTGCGAGCAAGGAGGCCTACAAACCTGACTCAGTTACACCAGCTCTGTCAGGAGGAATGGGCCAAAATTCACCCAACTTATTATGGAAAGCATGTGGAAGGCTACCCGAAACGTTTGACCCAAGTTAAACAATTTAAAGGCAATGCTACCAAATACTAATTGAGTGTATGTAAACTTCTGACCCACTGGGAATGTGATGAAAGAAATAAAAGCTGAAATAAATAATTATCTCTACTATTATTCTGACATTTCACATTCTTAAAATAAAGTGGTGATCCTAACTGACCTAAGACAGGGAATTTTTACCAGGATTAAATGTCAGGAATTGTGAAAAACTGAGTTTAAATGTATTTGGCTAAGGTGTATGTAAACTTCCGACTTCAACTGTATATAAGCTTCATTTACTCCAATGTTTGTAAACAATAATTGTAAACAAACCCTGTAAGCTTCAAAACCTGGTTAAAACGACAATTTTGATATCAGTCCTTGCATCATAGCTTCATCTATCTAGCTACCTGGTAGAAGTACATCATAGCTCCATCTATCTAGCTACCTGGCTGAAGTACATCATAGCTCTATCTATCTAGCTACCTGGCTGAAGTACATCATAGCTCCATTTATCTAGCTACCAGGTAGAAGTACATCATAGCTCCATCTATCTAGCTACCTGGTAGAAGTACATTATAGCTCCATCTATCTAGCTACCTGGTAGAAGTACATCATAGCTCCATCTATCTAGCTACCTGGTAGAAGTACATCATAGCTCCATCTATCTAGCTACCTGGTAGAAGTACATCATAGCTCCATCTATCTAGCTACCTGGTAGAAGTACACCATAGCTCCATCTATCTAGCTACGTGGTAGAAGTACCCCCCAGGACACAGTGTGTACACAGTTCAAATTAAACATGGATGTATATATACACAGTGGGGTCCGAACATAGACACCCTTGATTAAGATGAAATAAATCATTAAAATACTGAGCTATGGGTAAATTATATTATTTTCTACTAATACAATTGCTTAACAATTTTGTTTAACAAGTAATACTTATTTTCTAAAAAAGGTAGGGGTCAAAATGGACACCCCTAAAGATTCTTATAAAGTAGTCAAAAGTTCAGTATTTGGTCCCATATTCCTAGTACGTAATCACTACTTCAAGCTTGTGACTCTACAAACTTGTTGGATGCATTTGCAGTTCGTTTTGGTTGTGTTTCATATTATTTTGAGCCCAATAAAGATGAATGGTAAATAATGTAGTGTGTCATTTTGGAGTCACTTTTATTGTAAATAAGAATAGAATATGTAACTAAAAACATTATATTTTAGGAGGGGGTGATGAGGGGATGCGCTGTGGAATTATTTAAGATACTCTATGAAGAGGTAGGTTTTCGAAAGAGTGACAGGGACTCTGCTGTCCTAGCTTCAGAGGGAAGCTGGTTCCAGCATTGGGGTGCCAGGACAGAGAAGAGCTTGGACTGGGCTGAGCGGGAGCTGCCCTCCCGTAGGGGAGGGAGGGCCAAAAGACCAGAGGTGGCAGAACAGAGTTCTTGGGTTGGGGTGTAGGGTTTGAGCAGAGCCTGAAGGTAGGGAGGGGCAGTTCCTCTTGCTGCTCCGTCGGCAAGCACCATGGCCTTTTACCATCCCACATCAACTTCTACATTAATGTGGACGCTACCATGATTACCCATAATCCTGAATGAATCGGGAATAATGATGAGTGAGAAAGTTAGAGGGTCAGAAATCAATCATACCCTCAAGACATGCTAACCTCTCACCATTACCAATAACAGGGGATCCCCAAGACATGCTAACCTCTCACCATTACCAATAACAGGGGATCCCCAAGACATGCTAATCTCTCACCATTACCAATAACAGGGGATCCCCAAGACATGCTAACCTCTCACCATTACCAATAACAGGGGATCCCCAAGACATGCTAACCTCTCACCATTACCAATAACAGGGGATCCCCAAGACATGCTAACCTCTCACCATTACCAATAACAGGGGATCCCCAAGACATGCTAACCTCTCACCAATACCAATAACAGGGGATCCCCAAGACATGCTAAGCTCTCACCAATTACCAATAACAGGGGATCCCCAAGACATGCTAACATATCACCATTACCAATAACAGGGGATCCCCAAGACATGCTAACATGCTAACAATCACCATTACCAATAACAGGGGATCCCCAAGACATGCTAACATATCACCATTACCAATAACAGGGGATCCCCAAGACATGCTAACATGCTAACCTTCACCATTACATACAGTGGGATCCCAGACATGCTAACCTATCACCATTACAATAACAGGGGACTCCCCAACGACAGATGCTAACCATCTCACCATTACCAATAACAGGGGATCCCCAAGACATGCTAACATGCTAACCTCTCACCGTTACTAATGACAGGGGACATGCTAACATATCACCATTACTAATGACAGGGGACATGCTAACATATCACCATTACTAATGACAGGGGACATGCTAACCTCTCACCATTACTAATGACAGGGGACATGCTAACATTTCACCATTCCTAATGACAGGGCACATGCTAACCTATCACCGTTACTAATGACAGGGGACATGCTAACCTATCACCATACTAATGACAGGGGACATGCTAACCTCTCACCGTTTACTAATGACAGGGGACTGCTAACCTCTCACCGTTACTAATGACAGGGGACATGCTAACCTCTCACCGTTACTAATGACAGGGGACATGCTAACCTCTCACCGTTACTAATGACAAGGGGAACATGCTAACCTCTCACCTTACTAATGACAGGGGACCGGCTAAACTATCACCATTCCTAATGACAGGGGACATGCTAACATATCACCATTACTAATGACAGGGGACATGCTAACATATCACCATTACTAATGACAGGGGACATGCTAACCTCTCACCATTCCTAATGACAGGGGACATGCTAACCTCTCACCGTTACTAATGACAGGGGACATGCTAACCTCTCACCGTTACTAATGACAGGGGACATGCTAACCTCTCACCATTACTAATGACAGGGGACATGCTAACCTCTCACCGTTACTAATGACAGGGGACATGCTAACCTCTCACCATTACTAATGACAGGGGACATGCTAACCTCTCACCGTTACGTGGAAAACACGAGGCAGTCAATAGTGTGCATACGTAAAAATGTATGACTGTAAGTCACATGACTAAGCCGCTTTGGATAAAAGCGTCTGCTAAAATGGCATATTATATTAATAGCTGCCCCCGCGGTGACCACGACAGGCATCTGGACAACATGTTGCTGAGGGACGATCACACCCTTGAAAGACATACAGTCCCTTCAGAAAGTATTCATACCCCTGACTTATTCCACATTTTGTTGTGTTACAGCCTGAATTCAAAATGTATTAAATTGATGTTTTTTCCTCACCCATCTACATACAATACCCCATAAAGACAAAGTGAAAACATGTTTTTAGAAATGTTTGCACATTTATTGGGGGGGGGGGGGGGGGATTAGTATTGACAACAAATTTCAAAAAACATAATTCCACTTTGACATTATGGAGAAGTGTGTGTAGGCCAGTGAGAACAAATTCAGGCTGTAACACAACAAAATGTGGAAAAAGTCAAGGGATGTAGCTCAGTTGGTAGAGCATGGTGTTTGCAACGCCAGGGTTGTGGGTTCGATTCCCATGGGGGACCAGTATTAAAAAATAAAAAATAATGTATGCACTCACTAACTGTAAGTCGCTCTGGATAAGTGTCTGCTAAATGACTAAAATGTAAAAAAAATGTTGAATACTTTCTGAAGGCACTGTACATACCAAACATAGGTACTAGTAAAGAGACTCCTAGTCTTCACCCAGTATCTCAGATTGTCACTGGTCATAGTAAAGGGACTCCTAGTCTTCAGCCAGTATCTCAGATTGTCACTGGTCATAGTAAAGGGACTCCTAGTCTTCAGCCAGTATCTCAGATTGTCACTGGTCATTTCACCTCCCTTACATGTTTTTAATGTGTTCCCATTCTGACTCTTCGTGCATTAGGCTAAAGGCCTAGTGGAATGTATGTACAGGAAATGTTTTAGTTGTAAAAGCCAATTATTGTTATTAGATGCCTTATTCTTAACATATTTTGTAATTCCAGACCAAGATCCCTGAGATGAATATTGTATATAATGTCATGGTTATGATAGCATGACTTTCTGTTGCATATTGGGAGGTTACCTTATTCTTCCAATAGTTATTGTTTTACTAATATTACATTTCTAGTCCATGTCCCTGCTTTGCAAGGCGTTGGAAAACCTCCCTGGTCTTTGTGGTTGAATCTGTGTTTGAAATTCACTGCTCGACTGAGGGACCTTACAGATAATTGTATGTGTGGGGTACAGAGATCAGGTAGTCAGTCAACAATCATGTTTAAACACTATAATTGCACACAGAGTGAGTCCATGCAACTTATTATGTGACTTGTGTTGGAAACTGACTAATTGACTTGAGGATGTTTTAATATTTGTATAACCATTTAACAAAAGGGGGCCTGTCTCTGAGACAGAATGTTTCCATAAGGGTGAGATGGGAGGCATGTGTTAGAGCTAATAGACTGTAAACTACTGGCCTGTAACACCGTCTTATAGCTTCACTGTTTTATATCAGTATGTTCTCTCTATATGTTATAGCTTCACTGTTTTATATCAGTATGTTCTCTCTATATGTTATAGCTTCACTGTGTTATATCAGTATGTTCTCTCTATATGTTATAGCTTCACTGTTTTATATCACTATGTTCTCTCTATATGTTATAGCTTCACTGTTTTATATCAGTATGGTCTCTCTATATGTTGTTATCTCATTATATTATCTCTATATGTTTTGCGTCATCATATCCACTTGAGTGTCAAGCTGGGACAATAACACATCACTTTACAAACAAGATAATGGTCCTTATTATTCTCAGACAGCTCTTTGTGTATGAGAAGGATGGGTAACAATGGACTGCGGCAGGCTGCTAGAATGTATACTCCCTAGTCTCAAGGCTTCTCCTGACTGGTAAGAAGACAGGGAGATGCGTGGAGGAGAACCAAAGGTTCTGGACTCAAGCTGGGACAATAACACCACCTGTCAAGCAACAGAGATGAATTGTTCCTCCTTGACTCAGGAGGGGAAGGGCTTGTCTGTGAAGAGGGTACAAACAGAGGTCATAAATATATGTGCGTGTATAATGATACTTTGTCTTTGCAGCAGTATAACCCAGTGGGGTTTAATAAATCTAGCCTGAGCTTTCTTCGGAGTCCGATTGGAATTTGTACCAGAATCTTAGAACCTAACACTTTTTTTTACTCCAGAACTTATTTAGGCTTGCCATAACAAAGGGGTTGAATACTTATTGACTCAAGACAGTTCAGCTTTTCATATTAAATGAATTTGTCCAAATGTCTAAAACATAATTCCACTTTGACATTATGGGGTATTGTGTGTAGGCCAGTGACACAAAATCTCAATGTAATTTTAAATTCAGGCTGTAACACAACAAAATGTGGAAAAAGTCCAAGGGTGTGAACACTTTCTGAAGGCACTGTATGTGTTTAATATACTATCCAGATAATAAAGTGTCTGATCACAAAACATTCCATAGAATTGTAGAAAAATACCACCTTTCACTAAAACAGCTGTAACTCATTCACAGTAAAAGGTATTACCATTCTGATTTCAGATGATCAATCCTTACAAAATAAGAAAGAGAAACATTTAGAGCATATTGAGTCTATCTTCATTAGGAAGTGTTAATGGCAGTTGTTTGGGGGGGGGGGAAAGCACACAAGATACACATTTGATTGATTACTATTTGATTGATGCGGTGCTATTGTATGTCATATCATTTGAAAGGGCTGTTTCTCAGCTTTCAAAATATGTATCATGCTTTCATATATGGTTCGAAACCAGCAAAGTATGCTCATTAACGTACGCAGAGGTCATGGTCTCAGAAAATTCAGGAATTCCAAAAGCTCCTACCGATGATGCAACAATGCCAACATGGCGATTTCCACTTCCAGTTAGCTGGTGTTCTAAAGCCTAGTGTTTCCCCTTGAACTGAGAGTGAGAAACAGAGAGCTGTCTGTTAAACGGGCCATTCTGTAGCTCACCTAACCACTCTCTGTGTGTGTGTGTTTCTGTAACTATGTGTGTGTACAGCAGACTGTTCCGTTGCCCTACAAACTGTAGAAGGCTAACAAGCCAAGTGAGTCAGTTGTGAGAAGCTATGGCCTAAGACCAAATTCCTAAAAATGTGGAGTCAGTTGTTGTTCTTCTATGTAGACCATGTTGTTTTGTCCAGACTGTGGGATCATGTTAAAGAGTGTGATATCACCAGAACAGGCTCAGTGGTTGTCATGATCCAGGGGTAATCCATGTTATTACATGTGTAGGTTGGTGATTGGAGGGGGAGAGGGGGTACTAGAGTGTGTGTGTGTGTGTGTGTGTGTGTGTGTGTGTGTGGCAGAGAGAAGGGAAGAGAGGAGATGACATTACATGATTTCTCTGTACTCAAAGAGGAAGAGAGATGTTCACAAAACGTCTATCTTTAATTCTGAAAAGTCTAAACCGTTGGGGGGGGGAGAAACACATTGAATAACACATTCATAAACGGCAAAAAAGACAGCCCAAAACGTATCATAAGAAACAAGGTTTTGAAGTGTTTGTCCTGTATCTAGGAGATATAAGCTCAGGAAATCTTTTTCTTTTTTTTTCTTTTTTTTTTTACACATATGAAACTAATTTTTTGAGTAGGCACAAAACTACCTTCATCTTCCTGTCTTTTTTTTTTTACCGGTACCGGCTACCTTCAGACGAGTCCCATGACACTTATGGAGGTCGTAGAGCAAAGCGGAGAACACCATTGTGTTCGTGAGAGTCGTCTTTCCATATAATATAGTTTGTAGGTGAAACCGTTCAGATGCTACCAACATTTTAGTGAGAAGACCGGTTTTCGGTATGTCTCATCGTCTGACAAACACCTACTGTAGCTCGGCCACCTTCCACCACAGAAGCAGAAGGGGCGACATCGGTGGATGCGGTGGATTGAGACACATCCAATGCAACAAACAGATCTCTCTTAAACAGACAGATTCTGATGGGGATGACCGGTGCATCAATCGACTCTAGGGGGTTAAACAGATTCTGACAGGTGTGTGTGTGTGTAAGAGAGAGGAAGTGTGTGTGACAGATTCTGACAGGTGTGTGTGTGTTGTGTGTGTGTTTAAGAGAGAGGAAGTGTGTGTGACCGATTCTGACAGGTGTGTGTGTGTGTGTGTGTGTTAGTAAGAGAAAGGAAGTGGGTGTGACCGATTCTGACAGGTGTGTGTGTGTGTGTGTGTGTAGTAAGAGAAAGGAAGTGGGTGTTGACGATTGAAGGGGTTGGGGGTTAGTAAGAGAAAGGAAGTGGGTGTCTCGTAACAGAACTCTAAACACTGAGCTGTCTGATTTAGACTTCCTGTTATACCAACGTGTGTGCGTGTGTGTGTGTGTGTGTACTGAGAAGAATCAGTAAACACTAGTTGGAATGCAAACGGGTCATTACAGATGGAGACACACCCTTTGCGGTCCTCGTCCCTTCTCCTCGCTCTCCTTTCTTCCCCCTCTGTGTTTCTTAAAGGAGAAGTCCTTTTTACAACCAAATCTAAAAACAAATATGTCAAATGGTATGTTCTAGAAGTGTCCACCTGTATTACGCCGTATTCCCTGTTGTGTGACTAGAGCAGTCTCCTCTATCCAGCTGTTCCATCCTCCGTGTAGCCTGCTGCTACAGGTAAACAAAGGAAACACCAACATAAAGTGTCTTAATAGGGCGTTGGGCCCACCAAAAACCACAACAGCTTCACTGCGCCTTGGCATAGATTCTACAAGTGTCTAGAACTTCCTGTATTGGAGGCAACCCATGCTTTAGTTTCAATATACAGTTGAAGTCGGAGGCTTACATACGCTTAGGTTGGAGTCATTAAAACCCAGTTTTTAACCACTCCACAAATTTCTTGTATAGTTTTGGCAAGTCGGTTAGGACATCTACTTTGTGCATGACAAGTAATTTTTCCAACAATTGTTTACAGACAGATTATTTCACTTATAATTCACTGTATCACAATTCCAGAGGGTCAGACGTTTACATACACTAAGTTGACGGTGCCTTTAAACAGCTTGGAAAATTCCAGAAAATTATGTCATGGCTTTAGAAGCTTCTGATAGGCTAATTGACATCATTTGAGTCAATTGGAGGTGTACCTGTGGATGTATATCAAGGCCTACCTTCAAACTCAGTGCCTCTTTGCTTGACATTATGGGAAAATCAAAAGAAATCAGCCGACCTCAGAAAAAAAATTGTAGACCTCCACAAGTCTGGTTCATCCTTGGGAGCAATTTCCAAACGCCTGAAGGTACCACGTTCATCTGTACAAACAATAGTATGCAAGTATAAACACCATGGGACCACGCAGCCGTCATACCGCTCAGGAAGGAGACGCGTTCTGTCTCCTAGAGATGAACATACTTTGGTGCAAAAAGTGCAAATCAATCCCAGAACAACAGCAAAGGACCTTGTGAAGATGCTGGAGGAAACAGGTACACAAGTATCTATATCCACAGTAAAACGAGTCCTATATCGACATAACCTGAAAGGCCGCACAGCAAGGAAGAAGCCACTGCTCCAAAACCGCCATAAAAAAGCCAGACTACGGTTTGCAACTGCACATGGGGACAAAGATCGTACTTTTTGGAGAAATGTCCTCTGGTCTGATGAAACAAAAATAGAACTGTTTGGCCATAATGACCATTGTTATGTTTGGAGGAAAAAGGAGATAGCTTGCAAGCCGAAGAACACCCTCCCAACCGTGAAGAACGGGGTGGCAGCATCATGCTGTGGGGGTGCTTTGCTGCAGGAGGGACTGGTGTACTTCCCAAAATAGATGGCATCATGAGGAAGGAAAAATATGTGGATATATTGAAGCAACATCTCAAGACATCAGTCATGAAGTTAAAGCTTGGTCGCAAATGGGTCTTCCAAATGGACAATGACCCCAAGCATACTTCCAAAGTTGTGGCAAAATGGCTTAAGGACAACAAAGTCAAGGTATTGGAGTGGCCATCAAAGCCCTGACCTCAATCCTATAGAAAATGTGTGGGCAGAACTGAAAAAGCGTGTGCGAGCAAGGAGGCCTACAAACCTGACTCAGTTACACCAGCTCTGTCGGGAGGAATGGGCCAAAATTCACCCAACTTATTGTGGGAAGCTACCTGAAACGTTTGACCCAAGTTAAACAATTTAAAGGCAATGCTACCAAATACTAATTGAGTGTATGTAAACTTCTGACCCACTGGGAATGTGATGAAATAAATAAAACTTGAAATAAATCATTCTCTCTATTATTCTGACATTTCACATTCTTAAAATAAAGTGGTGATCCTAACTGACCTAAGACAGGGAATTTTTACTAGGATCAAATGTCAGGAATTGTGAAAAACTGAGTTTAAATGTATTTGGCTAAGGTGTATGTAAACTTCCCACTTCAACTGTACCTTGTACCCCTCATTTACTAAAGTGTGTCCTTCATTAGTTATAACTGTTATATTGTATTAGTCTACATTCTACTGTCCAGTCGCTCTAGTTATAACTGTTATATTGTATTAGTCTCTGGGTACACTGAAAATGTTTACCACACAGTCAGTCCACATACAGAAACCAATGTAGGGTCAGATTATCTCTCCCTAGTCCTGAAGCCTTTAACATTGACAGTGGGTATAAAACAACCATGCTGTGTGTGAGTCAGAGATGAGCCCCCTATATGTGGCTCCCTGCAGCGAGACGTGGAGATGAGCCCCCTATATGTGGCTCCCTGCAGCGAGACGTGGAGATGAGCCCCCTATATGTGGCTCCCTGCAGCGAGGCGTGGAGATGAGCCCCCTATATGTGGCTCCCTGCAGCGAGGCGTGGAGATGAGCCCCCTATATGTGGCTCCCTGCAGCGAGGCGTGGAGATGAGCCCCCTATATGTGGCTCCCTGCAGCGAGGCGTGGAGATGAGCCCCCTATATGTGGCTCCCTGCAGCGAGGCGTGGAGATGAGCCCCCTATATGTGGCTCCCTGCAGCGAGGCGTGGAGATGAGCCCCCTATATGTGGCTCCCTGCAGCGAGGCGTGGAGATGAGCCCCCTATATGTGGCTCCCTGAAGCGAGGCGTGGAGATGAGCCCCCTATATGTGGCTCGCTGCAGCGAGCGCGTGGAGATGACCCCCTATATGTGGCCCTGCAGCGGGCTGAGATGAGCCCCTATATGTGGCTCCCTGCAGCGAGGCGTGGAGATAGCCCCTATATGTGCTCGCTGCAGCGAGCGTGGGATGAGCCCTATATGGGCTCCCTGCAGCGACGTGAGATGAGCCCCCATATGTGCTCCCTGCAGCGAGCGTGGAGATGAGCCCCCCTCCCTGCAGCGAGGCGTGGGATGAGCCCCCGCTCCCTGCAGCGAGGCGTGGAGATAGCCCCTATATGTGGCCCCTGCACCGAGGCTGAGATGAGCCCCATTGTGGCTCCCTGCAGCGAGGCGTGGAGATGAGCCCCCTATATGTGGCTCGCTGCAGCGAGGCGTGGAGATGAGCCCCCATATGTGGCTCCCTGCGCGAGCGTGGATGAGCCCCCTATATGTGGCTCCCTGCAGCGAGGCGTGAGATGAGCCCCCTATATGTGGCTCGCTGCAGCGAGGCGTGGAGATGAGCCCCCTATATGTGGCTCCCTGCAGCGAGGCGTGGAGATGAGCCCCCTATATGTGGCTCCCTGCAGCGAGGCGTGGAGATGAGCCCCCTATATGTGGCTCCCTGCAGCGAGGCGTGGAGATGAGCCCCCTATATGTGGCTCCCTGCAGCGAGGCGTGGAGATGAGCCCCCTATATGTGGCTCGCTGCAGCGAGGCGTGGAGAGACCAGCAGGACGTTAGGAGGAGGCACGCGCATCAATGCTCCTCATTCACCCACACACACACACACACACACACACACACACACACACACCCACACCACTACTCCCCCGCTCTCCTCCTTCCCCCTGCATTATCAGTCCATGTTGTTTCGTTCCCATCTTTCCGAGAATTAAGAGCAGTTTCAGCCACAAGCGGAAAGTTATTTTCTAGTTTCCAAACAAACCCCCGCCTTTATCTTTATATTGCATCAGAAGGCTCGGCTACAAGTGTGAGGTGAGAGACGTTGACTGTTTCTGAGCAATAAAGGTGCTTTCTGTGTTCATGTCTCCAACCGTTTCTGAGAAATAAAGGTGCTTTCTGTGTTCACGTCTCCAACCGGCAGCTGCAGACTGAGAGAAGTGGACCTCCACTAGTTGACTGACAGGATGCAGGAAGTCTAGTTGAAGTGGGTGCACCTCCACTAGTGGACTGACAGGATGCAGGAAGTCTAGGTCACTTCCGGCTCCCTGTTCCTCAGTTCACACTCACTATTCTGTCAGTATTCAGATACTCTTATCCCATTTACACAGAGACAAAAACCCTTATTTTTACATTTAGTTTCCCTTCTTTTTTGGATATGTGAAAGGGTTAGGGGTAAAGAACAATGATACATATTGACCCAGCTGGAAACCCTCCGACTCTGTCACCTTCTGTCTCTCTGTCTATCTGTCTGTCTGGCTCTATCACCTTCTGTCTCCATGTCTGTCTGTCTCTCTCTCTATCACCTTCTGTCTCCATGTCTGTCTGTCTCTCTCTCTGTCACCTTCTGTCTCCATGTCTGTCTTTCTGTATCCGTGTGTCTGTCTCTCTCTGTCACCTTCTGTCTCCATGTCTGTCTGTCTCTCTGTCAACTTCTTTCTCCATGTCTGTCTGTCTCTCTCTCTATCACCTTCTGTCTCCATGTCTGTCTGTCTCTGTCACCTTCTGTCTCCATGTCTGTCTGTCTCTGTCACCTTCTGTCTCCATGTCTGTCTGTCTCTCTCTCTATCACCTTCTGTCTCCATGTCTGTCTGTCTCTCTCTCTGTCACCTGTCTCCATGTCCGTCTGTCTCTCTCTCTGTCACCTTCTGTCTCCATGTCTGTCTGTCTGTCTGTCACCTTCTGTTTCCATGTCTGTCTCTCTCTCTGTCACCATGTCTGTCTCTCTGTCACCTTCTGTCTCCATGTCTGTCTGTCACCTTCTGTCTCCATGTCTGTCTCCATGTCTGTCTGTCTCTCTGTCACCTTCTGTCTCCATGTCTCTCTGTCACCTTCTGTCTCCATGTCTGTCTGTCTCTCTCTCTATCACCTTCTGTCTCCATGTCTGTCTGTCTGTCTGTCTCTCTGTCACCTTCTGTCTCCATGTCTGTCTCTCTCTATCACCTTCTGTCTCCATGTCTGTCTGTCTCTCTCTCTATCACCTTCTGTCTCCATGTCTGTCTGTCTCTCTCTCTATCACCTTCTGTCTCCATGTCTGTCTGTCTCTCTCTCTATCACCTTCTGTCTCCATGTCTGTCTGTCTCTCTCTCTATCACCTTCTGTCTCCATGTCTGTCTGTCTCTCTCTCTATCACCTTCTGTCTCCATGTCTGTCTGTCTATCACCTTCTGCCTCTGTCCCTGTGCAAATTTATGTGTATGTGTTTGACTCTCTCTCCCCCCTTCACACACACACCTTTACAACGTTTAGTTGATAGGCTACCAATGAGATAAGAGCGATCAACACTATTCATGGTGCTGTGGTGAGCTCACTGTAGATCTCCATTGAGCATCGCAGTACTGGCCAGGGCAATCACGGTGGAGGAGCCGCCCGGCGCCGGGGGGCAATACAAACAACAGATAACACTGTGAGGTCAACTCTGACCCATTAAATAGTCTTCTTTTACACGCTCTCAATTTTCTATTTCTCTCGCTCCCTCCAAACGCTCCACAGGGCGAGTGTGTGGGAATTCCAGCAGCAGAGCGCGAGCAGCATTGGTGCGCTAGGCCGAGCGTGCACTTTTTTAAAAACATGTTTTTTTTGTGTGTGTGACAACTTTAGAAACATTACTCTCAATAGGTCTATGCAAAATGCTGCAATTGACCATATGACTGCTGCAACAAAGAACAGAAACAAATATATTTTACAGCCTATATCCGGGAAACGTTCACATACACTTTGTGCACAAGTCACTTCTGAGGTCGGTGCAGCGCATACGGAATGTCACGCGATACAGCCGCGCAACCGCGAGCCTGCCAGCGAGACACAGCAACGCCGAGAAGATTTACAAAGGTTATTTTATGAACAGTATGGTAAAACTCCACAACCATTATGCAAAAGATAAGTGCTGAGAATGAACAATGTTCTTTTTACGTCTTGTTTTTACGAGTTTCTCAAGTTAAACCAACCATAAAGGCCTATAACGTAGCCTAGGTTGAGTTTGTCGCACGTAGCCTATCCTAGTTTAGCTTTCACTCACTAAACAATGAAAAGGTGCTTTCGTTAAAAAAAAAACTAAAACCATATCCAAGTATCCAGTTCCTTACCTTAGTCTTGCCTTAGCGCCTATCCCTTCATATCCGCTTCCAGACACGAGATTAGTCTTTGTTTAATCCACAAATTTGGCCAAAAGTTACAATCCAAATTTGAGTTTCGAGTAACTTTGGTCGTTTGGCAGCAGCTACCTGTGCGCGGTAGAGAAAGGGTGCGGCAAAGTTGCCTCTCTCTCTGCCTGTCAGAATGTGACTTTGGTTTGCTTTGCACAACCTGGGCGCCCAACGTCCCCGCCCCTACCGGTCCCCAGTTGGACACTGGCAGGGCAACACAACCAATGAGAGGAGGAGAAAGGATGATTGACAGCGTAGGTACAGCGTTTGGCAAGTCAGCGCTTTGATTTTACGCGGATGCTGGGCTGTGATGTGATGTGTTGGGTGTGATTTTGTTTTGACAAGAAACAAGACATCAATTATTTATAGAAAAAGACAATAGAATGGCTAAAGGGTTTCCAGGGCGTCTGAAGACAGAGATTATGCTATAGGAGTTAGGAGATGACAGTGAAGAGTTGCGCTAGGAGCCTAATAGAATAATAACCTACGCATAATAAACATTGAGAGAGGACAAAACAAGTTTAAAAATAAGCAAAATAATATAATTATAGCCTACATACATTTTAGCTGTCATCATTATTTCACGAGGGTGCGAGGCGCCAGGCATGTGGAGCTCCTTTTAGGCGGGACAGTGGACAGGCATACTATTACAATGATAAATGTGTAGGCTTTTGATTAGTAGATTTTTATATTTAAGCAATAAGGCCCGAGGATGGGGCGGCAGGTAGCTTAGTGGTTAAGAGCGTTGTGCCAGTAACCGAAAGGTCGCTGGTTCTAATCCCCGAGCCAACTAGGTGAAAAATCTGTCGATGTGCCCTTGAGCAAGGCACTTAACCCTAATTGCTCCTGTAAGTCGCTCTGGATAAGAGCGTCTGCTAAATAATGTAAATGTAAATGTATATGGCCAATAAACCATGGCTAAGGACTGTTCTTAGGCAAGACGCATGGCTGAGTGCCTGGATACAGCCCTTAGCAGTGATATTTTGGCCATATACCACAAACTCAGAGGTATCTTATTTGCTATTATAAACTGGTTAACAACATATATAGAACAATAAAAATAAATGTTTTGTCATACCCATGGTATATGGTCTGATATACCACTGCTATCAGCCAAATCAGCATTCAAGGCTCGAACCACCCAGTTTATCATCAGAATTTGACTATCTTCTTATTTATCTCGCAGATAAAAAGCTCAGAGCTCACCCCCTCTTCCCTCACAACCCCTCCTCCCTCCCTCCCTCTCTCTCCTTATCCCTCCCTCTCTCTCTAGTCTCTCTCTCTCTACCGTCTCTCTCCCTCGCTCTCTCTCTACCTTCTCTCTCTCTCTACCCTCTCTCTACCTTCTCTCTCTCTCTACCTTCTCTCTCCCTCACTCTCTCTCTACAGTCTCTCTCTCTCTCTCTCTAGTCTCTCTCATACGCTCTCTCTACCTTCTCTCTCCCTCGCTCTCTCTCTACAGTCTCTCTCCTTCGCGCTCTCTCTACCGTCTCTCTCCCTCGCTCTCTCTCTACCTTCTCTCTCTCTCTACCTTCTCTCTCCCTCACTCTCTCTCTACAGTCTCTCTCTCTCTCTCTAGTCTCTCCTACGCTCTCTCTACCTTCTCTCTCCCTCGCTCTCTCTCTACATCTCTC